ATCTCAGGACAGGAGACAGTCTTATACGCTTTATACATCCAATATTGTTTAACATCAAATATAGTCATTTGAGGGCTAGTGAATCCACAGACATTACACACAAGTCACCATAACAGAAATAGGAAATAACGAGTAGAACGTGAAGGCATCAAGAGTCGGGGGGACAGGGTCCGGAGCAGAGTTCGCATTATTTTTTTACACTTTTTGTGGACATTCATTTTGCGATGGATCCACAGCCTCCACCAAAACCATGGGAAAGGCGCATTCCAGGGGCATTGAGTGCACCTGTAAATTACAGGTAAACGAGCTACGTTAGCCGCGTTAGCTAGCTGTTATCGCAAGACCTGTTTTGTGTTTTTTGATAGCAGCGGGCCACTGTTGTTGGTAGCTAGCGTTAGCTCACGCTAAGATTGTTGCACAAGCGGGGTGATATCGACCCAAACAGTGGAGACTTTGACATGTTGGTATAAATCATCGAACTATTAACTAACGCACACTTGTCATGATGTTTTACCGACTACAGCCATTTAGAGAAAGTAAAAGCTGGGCTAAAGGCTAACCAGCTAATGTAGCTAGGCGAAATGAGGCCCTGTCATGTGTCGCCTTCAGGTGTAATTTACAGTGTCACTCGTTGGGCTCCCGTACAACAGGTAGCTGTAGCTTAATGGTGAATGTAAAAACAACTCAAAGCATTAACTAAAATCCTGCAGTATTTTTGAATTGCTCCTCTCTACATTGGGTAGTTTACGGTACTAGGGAGACATTATGTTAAAACTGTCTCTTTCTCGCCAACTTTGCTGTTGACAACAACAGAAATTGAGCACCAACGTTATTCAATCGAGGACACATGACTGTTTGCAATTAGCAATCTCATACCATTAACTATCTGACCACCTTCGAGAAATGAAATCATCGATGTTAAAAGTTGTTCAAGCAAATTCAAAGGGATGTCTTTGGGTTGCAGCGGTATACTATTATGTAAAAATGGACGGCTATCATACCGTCTACAGTTACTTATTTACGGTATTGACAAAAATGCAAGAGGAAGATGTTTTGCACATACTTCCTCTTTTAAAAATGTTTCAAGTTTCAATAATAGTAATAAAATGATTGTTCAGCCAAAAAACCCTCTTTTGTTTTCATTTCTGATGATTCATTGTAACTGATGATAATAAATCTGTAATATCGTGATACAGTGAAACCATATTTTCTGAGATTGTTATTATACCATGACAATCTCATGCCTATGCATGGCTTGAAAAGTTGTAGTAATTACACAGAATCATTAACTAATGCCTTCTGTAGTTTTAAATAAGCATCAGGCCCCTGGATAATTAAAATCTTACTCCCTTGTATCATGAAAAAAGTGCCCTTAAAAAACATTAAAGCCATTCTAAACCGTGTCTTGTCTTGATCTTCTCTTTAAACAGATCTGCAAACTTTGGACCCATTACAGGCCCCTCTACTCCTGCAGGTCCTCCTGTTCTTACCAGGATGGTTCCCCCAGTGCCTCCTCGTCCCGTCCAGCAGGCCTACCGTCCATCCTACAGCTCTTTCAACTCCTCTTACAGCCCCTATGGGAGCTCCATGTATGGCGGCTACAGCCCCTACAGCTATGGTGGTGGCTACGGCTTGGGAGGGTACAGCCGCCTCTCCCACACAGAAGAGGTTGCCCCCAGCCGGTTTGTGCAACAGGCGGAGGAGAGCAGTCGGGGTGCTTTCCAGTCCATCGAGAGCATTGTCCAGGCTTTTGCCTCAGTCAGTATGATGCTGGACGCCACCTTCTCAGCTGTGTATAACAGTTTTCGTGCTGTGCTGGATGTAGCCAACCACCTTACACGGCTGCGTTCGCACCTCACCAGAGTTTTGTCAGCCTTTGCTCTGGTGCGCACCCTGCGCTACCTCTACCGACGATTACAGAGGCTGCTGGGGAGAAGGTCAGATGCTGAGGTTGACGACTTGTGGGCAGACAGTGCGAGTGATGCCCTGGCTACAAGTGCATCTAGAGGGGATGGAGTAGGGATGGAGGGTCCGTCCGTGAAGTCCTGGCCAATCTTTCTGTTTTTCGCTGTAGTGCTGGGGGGACCTTATCTTATCTGGAAACTGCTGAGCTCCAGCTCTGGCTCTGAAGAAAATGGTCAGACTTACATTCTAGATTTTAAACTTCTACATTTTAATACACATCACTACTTAAGTTCCTGTATTGGTGTATGTAGCCTGTCTTATAATTTTAACAGTTAAAGCTGTTTTATGTTTCTTTACTCAGCTACTAACTGGGCCTGCGGTGAGGATGACCATGTAGTGGCCAGAGCAGAGTATGACTTTTCAGCTGCGTCTGAGGAGGAGATTTCTATGCGGGCTGGAGACATGCTCAACCTTGCTCCTAAAGGTGAGAGCTCTTTGATGCCTGCTGGACATTATACTCTGTCTTTACATTCATCTCACACAAAATGTTGTTTAAATCATCTAGGCATACTAGACCATTGTGGTAGGACAGATTGTACCAAATGTCTGTTTTTTTTTCCCTTTTTTTTTTCGTTTATATTTTAAGTTTCTGTTTAGGTTTTCAAATGAAGCTTTGAATGTTTGGTGTCATATTTTATGACGTCATAAGCAACCCTTTTTAACTGGTTATACATAGTGTGTGTGCATTTGCTTGTGCGTACAAGACAAATAATCTATGTCTGACTCCTTCAATAATTTTCAAGAAAATCTGAAGTACTGGGGCGTCGGTGCATGTCATCCCCCCTCTCTCTCTCCCCCCTTCAAACTTACCTGTCCTGTCCATTAAAGGCAAAATGCCCTAAAAAATGTCTTTAAAAAAAAAAAAAAAGAAAAGAAAATCTTAAGTATTGAAAATGGTTGAAAATGAGAACAAGCAAATCCCGCTGTCCCCAACGAAGTACATGGGCTAAAAGGTGTATTTTGAAAAGCTTATAATTAACATACATCTTTAAAATCTTAATTTAATGTAGTTCAGGAACTCATTAATAAAAAAACATCATCACTTATCTCCCTTACTGCCCTAACATGTGTTTGCTCTATGGTGTTTCCCCTGCTTATTTCCAAAAAGGAAAGAAGTTTCGTTCTGTTTGTTTCACCCCCATGTGTGTTACATCACTAGAAAGCTCAGGATGTGCTTTTCACAATACATTAGGACTCAACTAGACTGCATGCACAATGTTTGAAATAAAGGCCTCCACAGAGACAAAATTGAATTGCCTGGTTTCAAAAGGCAAACTGATTTTTGCATCAATGCATGAAGTTCCTTGATTGGGTCTCTCATTTGGTTAAATCACCCACAGTTAGTTTTTCAGTTGATTTTCCAGACAATGTACTATTTCACGATATATATGTATGTCAAAACGTAGAATTACATACATGCGTATGCAATAATAGTGGATTTAATCCATATCAGGGAGAAGTGGGTTCCACATGAACATTACGAGTGAAATTACAGCTCTTGTTTTCCTGTCTATGTGGTACTGTAAAAGTTTATCTTTTGAGTGAAGCTCCTCAAACAAAATGTCAGTAATGAAAGAGAATGTCCTGCTTTCGAAGAAATACAACAGTGGGTATTTTTGTTGTTGTTGTTGTTTTTTTTACATTTGAGATTGTAATTGCTTCCGCTATGTTGATGAGCTCAAATAGTGACCTTTTATTCTCCACCTGTGTTTAGAGCAACAGCCCAGAGTGCGTGGCTGGCTGCTGGCCAGCTTGGATGGTCAGACCACAGGACTTGTCCCAGCCAACTACGTCAAAGTCTTGGGCAAGAGGAGAGGCTTTAAGCACGCAGAGATGGAGAGGCTCGCTCAGGTCCAGCAAGAGAACACACAGGCCTCCCAGACAGCCCTTGCTGCACACCCACAGACAAATCCTGCCCAAGGCTTCACCCCAGGTGTCGTTTCCACCTCAGCTTCATCAGAGGAGCTGTTAGAGTCAGTTTACAGAGAAACACCAGCTTCCTTCAGTCTGGGAACATCCCACACCAGTATGCCCTCCAGCACAGTGCTAAACATCCCTGAGAAGACTGACCTGTGATGTTTGTGCATGTATGCATCTCTCTGTATGCAAGTCTATGTGTGTTCTTAACATTGGTTGGTTCAGTCAGTACTTGCTTGCAGTGTTAAACGCTGAGACCTGACTAATAATCAGCTGACGATAGATGTTCGGGAAAGCACCATAGACCTCTTAAGAATTGTTCAAAGTAGTTCCTCGGCTCATCTATAATGATTCAGATCGTCGGACATAGTCTGGACCCTCTGATAAGGTTATCGGACAAAAATGGTTTTCATTCACAGGTTGTTCTGTTTATTGTGTGTCAAATTAGGAGGATATTTTGTATTCTGTAAGTATGGTACACAGCTGTTCTTAATCATGTCTGATTTAAGATGTAATCTCTTGAGATTACTTACAGTTAGGTGTTGAAGTTGATGAGGTGCACTGATACATCTGTATACTGACAGTGTAAGGACAAAGCCAGTGGATATTGTTTAATAACATAATGTCATATGTTTTTTTGCCCTCATTGTAGGCTGCTTGGTTCTCTGCTTTGTGTTCCTTGTGAAGCAAATGTGATGGGATTCATTCAGAATGAGTAGGGGCCCATTTTGCACATCTTCAGCTGTTTGTTTGTCACAGAAAGTAATTTTGTAAATATTTAATATAATTATTTTGAAAATAAATATTTTTAAAAACCATGTTGTGTCCATTGTTATATACCTTTATTAAGTTAATAAGAGGGGAAAGGTGGCTCTTACAAAGGTTAACTAAGAGCAAAGAGAGGTAACTAAAAGCCAGCCTAATGGCCAATACAGCTCATTTAGTTTAGTTTTATTTTTTTTTGTATTAATATGGTTGGTTTTTGTTTGTTTGTGTGTGGTTTTGTTTTGTGTTGTGTTCACGTAACTTAATTCATTTTTCGGAAACTCCAAGTGGGACTTCTGCCAGAAACACTAGATTTACGGCTGCTGTCTCTTAGCAACAGGATGCCTAAAACCTGCTGCAGTGCGACAGCAGTGACGAGTCAGCAGACACCGACAGAATCAACCAAAACTGCTTTTATTTATCCAAGTTACTTTGGGACTTGACCGCTGAGTTTGCATTTTGAGAGCGCAGCCTGTCGACAACATTTTTTTTACCGTGCTACTGGGCTTAAACATTTACAGCTGGGTTAGCTCATATGCTAGCTGATTGAAGCTAATGCTGCTTTCAAGGACTATCGGACATGCTTCGCTGTTAGGACGCTTAAAGGAAATAGTACTTTGACATAAGATGCAATACACGTGGTCCACTTCCTCTATCTTGTACAGAATTGACCGTATAGCTACTTAACTCAACAAACTTGACAAAACTTGCCCATGTCGAAGAAACTGAGAAAATTGTTTCTGTGGGTGCATAACTGCAATTTATCCTGACAATGCAACATGGTGTAACTCGACTTATTTAAAGCAAACGACAATAGCCACCACTAACTGAGCAATACTATGCAGCTGACTGGTGGTCTTGACCCTGTGTAGTCTGTGGTCGTGACGCTGCATGTGTGGCTTGTGATTAGGAGTTTAAGGAGGAGTACCTGAAGGCAGCAGATCCATCCCACAAAGTTAGCTAGCATTAGCAATAGCTGCAGTTAGCCGGTAGGAGAGGACCGCAGCATCAGCATCACCCATACATAATGACATAAAACAGGTACCAGCTTTGTTCACTGTACGAGACGACGGGGAGGAATATCTCTGACACCAGATAAGTATGTCAACAATATCTTATCCTTCTTGTTTGAATTATGTGTAGAGACCAGCTGATTAAATTTGACCTGAAAGCATCTGACGCCGATGCAGGAGGAGGACAGAGGGACTCGGCCTGCGCTCGCATCACTAACGTTACTCCACCAAGTTTCTCTGTTGTATTCCATGATATATATTTGTATGTTATGGGCCTGTAAACGTATGTAAAATGGACAATGTCTCGATCTCATCTTTGACTGCTCCTAGTATCTCAGAGTGAAGCTCTGCAGAGGATGTTATGACCTGTGATGTATTTAGTGGTAGAAAAATCATAGTAACTTGATTTCTAGTGACTGACGCATCACGTTACGCAACCATCAGGTCACTCAACAAAATCCTTTAAAAATACACACATTAAAATTGAGACTGCTTATTATATCAATGTGAAATGACATGAATTTTACCAATTGAACGTTAATGTTATATAAAACTGGCTAAACTGAGTCAAAGAGTGATCACCCTGTAATAGCTACATTCTCACTTTTGACTAAAGCTGGACTGTATTCATTATTCAGTAGGCTACTGAAGTAATACCTCAGATATGGTAATGTTGTAATACTTTGTGTATGGCAGCTATTTCACTTGAGATAACAAAATCATTTGTAGTGATTCTTTTCTTGATTTAACAGTTTATTGCGGGGGTTATGGTTGGAAAAAAGAGTTGCCCTTTCGTTTGCCTGATCCACAGTCCAAACCCTAAAAATATTCAGTTCACTATCATGTGAATAAGGCTTAAAGGTCCAGTGTGTGGGATTTAGTGGCATCTAGTGGTGAGATTGCAGACTGCAACCACTTGAAACTTCTCCAGTGTCCCAAGTGTATAGGAGAACTACAGTGGCCGATGCAAAAATGTGAATGGCCCTATCCAGAGCCAGTGTTGGTTTGTCTGTTCTGGGCTATTGTAGAAACAACATGGTGGACCCTGTGAAAGAGGACCGGCTTTGTATGTCGATATAAATGGCTCATTGTAAAGTTACAAAAACACATCAATTCTTATTTTTAGGTGATTTTACACTAATGAAAACAGAGTTATGAATGTTACATTCCATTTATTCCAATAATCCCCCTAAATCCTACACACTGGACCTTTAAGCTGTTATAAAAACAGTTTTCTACTAGTTTTCTGTTGATCTACTAATAATTTTAGGCATTCACTGTTGACTTACTACCTTTAGTTTCTCGTCTCTGTGCCTCTGTAGAAATGAGCCGGTTCTGCTCGGACAACAACAATTTTCCCTATGACAACAACGTCCTGGTTTTGGACATGGTGCTGGGCTCTCTGTGGGGGGTGCCCCAGCCCATAAACTGGGACAATGTAGCCAAGCTAGTTCCAGGATTCACTCCCAAGGAGGTAACTGGAATGCTGGGTAACTATGAGTGCTTCCATCCATCCATCCATCCATCCATCCACCCCTCCACCTGTCCTGTCCCATTCATCAATCATTCCATGGATTAGTGACATAAAGCCTGGCTTGTTGATAAACAGTAATGCTGTGGCACTTATGTAATCTTCAGTGTGCCCGTCGATTTGAGGAGCTGAAGAGCACTGGGGGTTTTCCCCATGTGGACAACCAATGTAATGCCCTGACAGAAGGAAGCACCTCCCCTTCAGACGGCCTGACCGCGCTGCTGGACACTGGGGAGGTGGTGGAGACAGGAAGCAGCCAGAGCAGCAGCAAAGTTACATGTCAGTGATGTCATTCTGAGTAGTGCAGATCAAGTTTTAAATTCTGTTGCTGCTGTTACACTTTTTCACCCACAGGAATCATTTTAGTTTTATCCAGTCTAAAATGCATTTAGTTTTCTTCAATAAGAAATTTATCAAATGAAGCAGAGTTAATTTGAACATTTTGATGACGCCTTTTGCTTTACAAGATATAATCAGTTCAGGCACAGCTTATTTTGTTAATAGAAATATTCTCAGGCTAGTAGAAAACATGGACTAGCAGAGCAAGCTTGTATTTGGAAGCAGTACAATAAAAAATGTGTAGCTGTGGTATTGATGGCTACTGCTTGATAAATGGGTTTAAAGTATATTTACTTCTGCTGGTGTCAGCAGGCTCCAAATCGACGCCCTCAGGAAGAGTCGGTGTTGTGGAGAAGAAAGAGAGAAGAGTCTCAGCCGAGGAGGATGACAAACCTCAGAAGCCAAGAGAGTAAGTGCTGAGAACTCATTCTCAGTCTACAAAGTGCTGTTTCTCATAGCGGCTAAGCCAAGTTACCAAAAATGCACATTTATTCCTAACACATACTCCACTTTATATCAAAATCTTTTTAATATGAATAACTCACTTCATTTGGACTTTACAGGCAGCTATAAACTGTTCTGTATTTTCATATCTAGCAGTGAATTTTACTGCTGGGTGTATTTTTGTGGGGAGTAATGGATTTGAACTCTTTTTTTCCTACAGTCCCAACATGGTGATCCATGTGTGTGATGAGACCAAGAACTTGAAGCAGGACTTCACGTGTCCCAGAGATCTTCTAGTCAAAGAGATGCGTTACTTTGCTGAGTACCTGTCTGTGGACCCCCAGAGGTGGGAGGAGGTGGACATCTCCGTTCACTGTGACGTGCAGATCTTCGATTGGCTCATGAACTACGTCAGAAGGAATTCTGCAGGAGAGGGAAACAAGGACAAACCCCGTCTTGGTAAATCTCTGAAAAAATGTAAAAACCAATAATCAATATCACATTCTTAAACACGGGGAATGCCCAGGCTTTCACTTACCTGTTTGTATAATTCCGTGGATGGTGCTCGATTTCTCAGTCACTAAACGTGGTGTGTGTTTGGTGGGTCACTGGCTGTGTGTTCTGTGTTGTTTGTCGGTTGTGGGGTTTGCTTGGTTGGTCATGTGGTGTTTGTCGGTTACAGAGCCCAGCAATGTGATCTCAATCCTGATCTCCTCCGAGTTCTTGAAGATGGATACGTTAGTAAGTGTTGTGACATGTGACGCTAGTTGTGGTGATGTGCTTCGGGCCTTTTGTTTTTCAAATGTGAAAAAATAATTGACATGTGGCCTGGTCACAACATATCCATAAGAATGTCTGATAGCAAAGACACTGAATCCTCAGAGTTGCCCAAACAGTCCCAGCAACTTGCAAATGTGTCAGAGTGGATAATGAGTAAACTGTCCTAGTCCAGGAAAAACCAGAGGCCCATACATAGAGCTTTGTAAAGTTGATGTTGCATGGTTGTTAAAAGTGTAGATGTTCTTTTGCCCTCACGGATTATTTAAACAGCTTGCAGTAAATTTCCTCACCACTGCTGTACTTACTAAGGCTCTGTAAGAAGACCTAAAATTATACCAATAATTAAGTAGTGTTTGATTTATGTAGTGTCATTGAAATTACGTTTACTATTGCTGTGAAAGGACTTACAAGAGCTGTATATGTTTGTCCATGTTCAGGTGGAGGAGTGCATCCAATACTGCCACAAACACATGAGTGCCATCGTGGCGACACCCTGCAACATGAACTGCATCAACAGCAACTTGGCAACACGCATTGCTGAACTCTTCAACCACAATGAGGCTGACGACATCAGGGACAAAAAAGACAAGTTCAAAAGGTAAAAAGATTTACACTTTTGTGAAGTACAGTACAGGCCAAAAGTTTGGACACACCTTCTCATTCAATGCGTTTTCTTTATTTTCATGACTATTTACATTGTAGATTCTCACTGAAGGCATCAAAACTATGAATGAACACATGTGGAGTTATGTACTTAACAAAAAAAGGTGAAATAACTGAAAACATGTTTTATATTCTATTTTCTTCAAAATAGCCACCCTTTGCTCTGATTACTGCTTTGCACACTCTTGGCATTCTCTCCATGAGCTTCAAGAGGTAGTCACCTGAAATGGTTTCCACTTCACAGGTGTGCCTTATCAGGGTTAATTAGTGGAATTTCTTGCTTTATCAATGGGGTTGGGACCATCAGTTGTGTTGTGCAGAAGTCAGGTTAATACACAGCCGACAGCCCTATTGGACAACTGTTAAAATTCATATTATGGCAAGAACCAATCAGCTAACTAAAGAAAAACGAGTGGCCATCATTACTTTAAGAAATGAAGGTCAGTCAGTCCGGAAAATTGCAAAAACTTTAAATGTGTCCCCAAGTGGAGTCGCAAAAACCATCAAGCGCTACAACGAAACTGGCACACATGAGGACCGACCCAGGAAAGGAAGACCAAGAGTCACCTCTGCTTCTGAGGATAAGTTCATCCGAGTCACCAGCCTCAGAAATCGCAAGTTAACAGCAGCTCAGATCAGAGACCAGATGAATGCCACACAGAGTTCTAGCAGCAGACCCATCTCTAGAACAACTGTTAAGAGGAGACTGCGCTAATCAGGCCTTCATGGTCAAATAGCTGCTAGGAAACCACTGCTAAGGAGAGGCAACAAGCAGAAGAGGTTTGTTTGGGCCAAGAAACACAAGGAATGGACATTAGACCAGTGGAAATTTGTGCTTTGGTCTGATGAGTCCAAATTTGAGATCTTTGGTTCCAACCGCCGTGTCTTTGTGAGACGCAGAAAAGGTGAACGGATGGATTCCACATGCCTGGTTCCCACTGTGAAGCATGGAGGAGGAGGTGTGATGGTGTGGGGGTGTTTTGCTGGTGACACTATTGGGGATTTATTCAAAATTGAAGGCACACTGAACCAGCATGGCTACCACAGCATCCTGCAGCGACATGCCATCCCATCCGGTTTGCGTTTAGTTGGACGATCATTTATTTTTCAACAGGACAATGACCCCAAACACACCTCCAGGCTGTGTAAGGGCTATTTGACCAAGAAGGAGAGTGATGGAGTGCTGCGGCAGATGACCTGGCCTCCACAGTCACCGGACATGAACCCAATCGAGATGGTTTGGGGTGAGCTGGACCGCAGAGTGAAGGCAAAGGGGCCAACAAGTGCTAAACACCTCTGGGAACTCCTTCAAGACTGTTGGAAAACCATTTCAGGTGACTACCTCTTGAAGCTCATGGAGAGAATGCCAAGAGTGTGCAAAGCAGTAATCAGAGCAAAGGGTGGCTATTTTGAAGAAACTAGAATATAAAGCATGTTTTCAGTTATTTCACCTTTTTTTGTTAAGTACATAACTCCACATGTGTTCATTCATAGTTTTGATGCCTTCAGTGAGAATCTACAATGTAAACAGTCATGAAAATAAAGAAAACGCATTGAATGAGAAGGTGTGTCCAAACTTTTGGCCTGTACTGTATCTCTGATGAATGTGATGTGATAAATCTTGCGTAAACTGTTATAAAGATAGAGTGAAGTCTACGATAAAAGACAGATGGTTCTATTTGTGACTTTTTAAATTTCATTCCCCCCTCAAAGCAAATTGTTTCAGAAGAAAATAGAGCGTCTCTTTGATGCCAACTACCAGAACAGAGATTCACCTGGAAACGCCTCGACTCTCTACAGGTGAGCAGTTAGCCTCTGAGTTCCTCCAGGCATTTACTTACCTCACTGCTTTGCAACAGCCTTCAAGTCCTGTGAAATGGAAGTTCATCAAGACATCAAACATTTGAAACCGTTTAACAGAAAGACAAAAGACAGGGATTTTGATGGGAAAATACTCTGTAACTGATTTTTTGACATTTATTTGACATATAACAAGAGCTAAATGATCAGACATAGCATTAAAACTGGGAAAATGTAATTTAATTTCATGAGGACTTTAACTTGCACATTTCAGTTTTTTCTCTTGCCTTAATTTTCATTCTCTTATTATTAGAATCAGTCTCACTATTAGTCATAAATTTGTTTATTTCCAGGTGTGGTCTGTGCCTTAAGCTGCTGACCAAAGACACGGAGAGGAAAATTTCTTGTGTTCCTGGGAAAATCAACATTGATGGTCATGGAGAGATCATCTATACACACACTAAGTATGACATAAATGTCCCGTGCATTGGCAAAATTTGTGAACTCTTATTTCCTGGATTTGTTTAGCTGCCAGCAACAATATGTGGACAAATACCTCGTTAAAAAAATCTCGATCACCGTCTGTGTGTGTTCATGTGTGTGTTTGCAGACAAAAGAGCTGGGATGTACATGAATACATCACCAGTCTGTATGAGGAGCTCAAGTCCTGGGTCCTGGTCTACTGGAGAATCTGGGGTACAATCAACTACCTCACTTGCTCCCGGTGCCAACAGGTTTGTATTTGTGTAAGCATGTAAGGTTATACACGTTCATACTATAAACCTGACCTCTATGACTAAATATATTCAACCCCACCTAAAGAGTTTCTACGCATGTGTTTATAGGTGTTTGTGTGTGCAGAGCTGACCCATTGCAAGTACCACCCAGACAGTGTGCTGTACCCTGGCATGGGTACTGAGAAAGGCTGGCATGGTGCAGGAATCTACCCCTGCTGCAACCAGAGGGTTCTCCGCTTTGACCCCACTGGTATGCCCAAGGTATGGACACTCACACTCACACTATACATGTGCTAATGTTCTACTAAAACCTTTGCAACTGCTCTAAACCAAAAAACAAATCTGGCTGGTTCAACGTTAACTTAACAATATTAATGCCCTCCTTACACAAGGAGGCTTTGAAAAGACTTTTAAAAGTCTGACGCTCTCTCACATCTTAAGACAATGTGAGATTTTAGTCACACACAATAAGATTTTGCAAAGAATGGAGATCTTGTAGGGTCACTATTTGCAAGACTACAACTAGATTCCTTTTGAGATTATTTACTGTCCTGCTCCTGGTGTAAAATATTACACCAAATTCCCTTAAAGAAATATGACATATTAACAGTTTCTTACTTGTGCACAAAAACACATCACTCTAGAAAGACAAGATAAAAAGTGTCATATGTCAAAAGTATTCTTGTCAATTCTGCATCAGTATAATCTGTAAAGATAAATGGTATTTGCGTACAAACTTTACATTTTGGATTTTGTTGCCTCAACTTGCTACCAGCCTCTGTTGGTTAGTGGGTGAAGACTGTGGGAACGAGAGCCGAACTGTTTCACAAAATTAAGGATTTCTCACTAAAATAAATGCTGGCACGCCAAATTAAACACTGACTGTTGTTCATTCCACAACTCAGCCAGTTTCTCCTCCTTGCACAGTCCAGTAGAACAGAGGCTTGTTCATAGTCTTGCACCTCTCCAAAGTCCCGTCCGTGTTTACTATCTACCTAGTTTGCTGCTTCTTGTTTGCCGCTAGAGAGAGCACATCTACTGGTTGTTAACAATGTTCATGTCATTGAGCCAAGACTAAAATCTTTAAATGTTTAAATCATAAGAAAGTCAAGAAGAGAAAAAGATTGACTTAAGGCAGCTCCAGCTTTATGACCACATAAGATTAAACAATCAAGATCACAGGAGCGCACACCACCTGTGCTAAAATTCATGATTTTATTAAGACATTGAAAATTTGTCCGCATCTATGAAATCGCTTGAAAAGCAGTGAGATTAACTAATGGCTGCCCTTTTCTAATTTAATCATTATTTGTACTTTTTAAAATCCTCTACCTGTTAATCTGTTCAGAGTATCACTCCACTGCATGCTGGGACTGACCCCTGTTCTGCTCCGTAGCTACAGAGAATGTTAAATGCAGCTCACAGATAACACAGATGTTAACAAGAGTTAAACTGCTGCGCAAAGAGACTGATATACGATGGATGGCCTAACCTGTGCTGTTTTATAGTGATTTCTCTGTGATGCAGCATTGGTGTATTTACTACAGAATGTAACTAATGGTTAGTTTTGGAAGCTTGATGAAGCTTCTCAAAGGTTTAAAGGAGAAATGTGTGTGTGTGTTTAGGGCTGTAAGATGCGAGACCACATAGTGAACGTACCTGATGAAGAGAACTGCGACGAGGCGACTGCAGCCCAGACCAGAGTCCTTAATGACCTGCTGCTGCACAGAGACGCAGTGTGTTTGTTTCACACGCCGCCTGCAGAGGGGTGAGCATGACTGCTTGTGGCAGCGTGTCTGTTTGTCAACAGGAGTAACAGTTTTTTTTACAGTGGCACTTGTTTTGACAGGTTCCAATAAAACTGGATTATTTTGTGTTTGTACGTGTGTTAGTACTGAGGAGAGTCCGTCCAGTGCAGAGAAGGTTCAGCAGGACTGTGACGTTCTCCTGGAGCCGACACTGCTCGGACCTCTGAGAGCAGACGGCAGCACTGTAAGTCTTTCTCTCTCTCTCTCTCTCTCTCTCTCAGTGTTTCTCTTCCGTCTGATGCTTGTCTTCTAGCAGCATGTTCATTTTCTGGTTCTGACCTCAACTACTTTCTTTTTTCATCCAGTTTTCCCTCTTGAAAAACTGGAGTCTGCAACTGGTAGGACCTATACCTAATTTCTTTGATTAAATCTGCTTATATTGTAGTAATGATCATTTTGTTAGCCAGCTGTTTTCAGATTTACAGACACATCCAGGTGCTTTTACTGAGATCTTTTGTTAGATTAGTCAAGTGTGAAGATTGACTGAAGTCAGTGTCATCAAGCAGCTGAGAGGTAATGTCTACAATGTGTCACCTTTACTGTACAGAGGCAGCAGTCGCTCCTGTCAGAGGATGAGGAGTACACCACAGGGTCAGAGGTCACCGAAGATGAGGTGGGGGATGAAGAGGAGCTGTCTAAGAAGCAAGGTGAAGAGGCTTTGTAGCATTTTGGGAGATAGATAACTGCTGATTCATGTTGGTAGTTCCTCATTTTTTATGCCTGGTGCTGTGTGGCATTCACAAGTGACACTAGTGTGTTTGTGGTACTTCCCCTTAGATTTGGTACCTGCAGCTTTTATTTTAGCCTTACTTATAGGACTGCAACACACAGTCTGCATTAATAAGTGATTAGTCTACTGATGTTTTTATAAAGCAATGCACTGCTCTGGACGGGAGTCAGCAGCAAAACACATTTTAGTCACTTCAGAAATGTCCCAGCTAAAAATGTCAATACCAATGCCTTAAATACATAATGCACATACATGAGATTAGTCTGACTGACATGACGTACACTGTGTGTATAAGCCTGCCATCAGCTGCCTATTTGAGACAGAGTTCTCCTCCCCTTCCAATATCTGCATGTCATCATTTTGCAAGGGCACCATCACTGCATCCTGGGTTTAGTGCCGCACCAAGACAATTGTGATTGCTATCATGAAATACAAACAACCCAGAGCATTTGTTTCCTTCGTGCAGAATTATGATGGATTTATACAGATTCTTTTCTTGCACTGGCACAGAGCTAAAACAAAGTGTGGAGTAAGGTCTGGTGGCTTTGTGAGACTAACATCAGATTGATATAAATCTGTTCTTGGAGAGATAAGAATTAACCATACTTCTTAGAATGTTTAACTGTGGCTTGAAGATTTCTTATTAATCTTGTTAGCAAGTAGCGAGTATTTGAAGCTTTAATCTGCAAATGTTTGCTAATTTTACTTAATAAAAACAACTAAAATGATTTTTTGTCAAAATCATGTCTAACACTAAATATATTTAACTTTCTGTTAATTGATCATTAACTAAAAAAGTAAGTAAAATGTATTTGTATAGCGCTTATCACAGACATAAATCACAAAGTGCAGTACAAGAGCATTATGCAGTGCACAAGAAGAAACCATAAAAGATGAAGTGACATTGAAAAGTATTGTATATCATGTCTCTATCTTCTGGTTGGCCATCACGATAAGAGTATGCATGCATAATATGATAATTCAACTACAGAAGAAACTAAATTACTAAATAAGTAGGGAAAAAAGTGGATATATTGATATCAGTATCAGTTAGCAGTCAAATGAGTTGTTACATATCAAAATCCAGTATCCTGCATCCCTAAAAGTTACCAACTAAAAACATAACACATAATGAAAAAGAACACAGAACATAACAGGAATATAAAGTACATAGAAGAAAAACAAACCTGGTGCATGTCTTTAGCTGCCTTTTAAAAGTCAGGGGACCATAAGGATGCAGGCAGAGCCATAATCTAAGCGCTACAGCCTCAAAAGCTTAATTACCACCGCTCTTTATGCAGGTGCGTGGGACAGACAGCAAGTTTAGCATATTTGACCTAAGAGAGCGAGCTGATGAGTAGGGGTGAAGTAGTTCAGCCACATAAGTGGGAGCCTGACCGTGTTATGCTCTGTACATAAAATAAGAATTTTAAACTGGATCTTATACTCAATAGGGAGCCAGTGAAGAGATTTTAGTATAGGGCTAATATGAGTCCTCATGAGTAGCTTTGCGGCAGCATTCTGGATTGCCTACGGACGATCAGGAGCAGACATGTTAAATGAGGAGGAAAGTGTGTTACAGTTGTCAGTGCGAGATGAGATAAAGGCATGTATGAGCATCTCTAGTTCATTAGCTGAAACTACAGATCTCAGTTTACTAGTATTTCTTAAGTGGAAAAAACAAGAACTGGTTGGCTGCTAAACAACTGACAACTAGTTGTTTCAGTGCTCATAACAAACAGCACAACTTTGACTCTCAGCTGTCTTCATCGGTAGTTTGACAGTTAATAAGAGAAAATGTAGGAAACAGGTTAAACTATGAGGATAGGTCTGTAACTCTTGGAATTTTCTACTCAAGCTTTTAAAACAGATTTAGTGCACTGCTTATCTGAAAGAAATAATAATAAGTCATGGATATATTCATGTCATTAAAATGCTGTTGCGAGGTTTAATTACAGGCTCTAACTGCTCTTGCCCTCACTATTATAACAATCTTGTAATGACAGTTTAATTGCAGTTTATGTGATTAATTGCGTATTATCACAAAAATGTTTCAAGCAGTGGACAGCGATAAAAAGTCCTAACAGTTATTACTGCACATTGATGCTGTTGGGTTTAATGGATTCCAATTCTTATAGATATTTATGTCAAGTTCCTAAACATAACAGTGGCATACAGATACACTGATGAGGTTTTTTTTTCATAATCAGACAGTGAATATACGTTTCTTGCTTATTTTCTGTTATGGTAAATGATTATTTGTCACCTGAAAAGTTGGAGTGGCATGAGAAGTGACATCACAACATTTTACATCAGTCAGAGTGATTTAAATCACCTAACACACGAGGCCTTCATGTCGTTATCTACTGTGACTAATCACCTCTGACCTAATAATAAATGTCATGTTTATTTTCATATGAATTTAACTTCCTTTAAACCCTCGTGCTGCTGGTAACAGCTTCCTTCAACGCTGAGTCACTGTTGTAGTTTAAAGGATAAAAGTCAAATGAGGACGCATAATGAAACATTTCTCTATTTATAGCACATCACCACTGTTCTTCCCTCACTCTACATTTTCATCACGTTTATTTTTAAGTTTCATTTTTCCTCTTTCAGTCCTTTTTCAAGCATGGGAAATAAATCAGTTGCTCTCTTCAGCCAGCAGATGGCGTCAGACACCACCAGCATATTTATCATGATTTTTTTTTTTTTTGTTGTTGTTGTTTGTTTTGTTTTTCTGTTTCCAGCTGCTAAGAAGGCCAAGAAGGCCCACAGACCCCTGAAAAAACAAATGTCTTCTCCAAACTTCCAGCGCAAAGACAAAGCAGAGAAAGTGAGTCACTGAATTCATTAATATTCAATAAGAATTCCTAAAATGCTGCAGAATGCAACTTCAACATCTGAAAGACTTGTTCTGTGGTACAATACAGTGTAAAGCTGCAGCATAGTAACTGTTGTACTGTAGCAGGGTGTATTATTTCACAGTATGGTGACTATTTTATTTGTGATGCATCTAAACTTAGTTATACACACTAGAAGTCGTTTATATATTATTTATCCCAGAAATCAGCTTCCATGAATTTGTATCACATTCTCACAGAAACACTATCGTCTGTTCGTTTTTGTGCTGTACACTTACTTTTTTCATACAGTTACATTAACTATGAAGATATTGTGTTAACAGTGCATTTGTTATTAACTGTATTCCTACTCAAATAACACAGTACAGTACATACTTACACCTGAAGGTATGCTATGCAGGAACTGTCCACTACTTTTTGTAAACAATATCGCCAGTGAAAGTGAAAACCATCCACTTGGCGTTATCTGTCGCTACATTCCTCTTGGATGAATGCTGCTTACAGTCTGGACCTGGTCACCACCCTTTTAAGTCCCCTCTCCACCTGTGTGCTGTGCCCAGGGACGTCCCAGCACAGCAAAATAACACGAAAATAAGAAAACACATAAAGAGGGCAGAGTCTCTGCAGATAAATATACTGCCACATGCCTCTAGTGGGTCATAAGTGATGGTTGAGAGGGATTGCTTCCTTATGAGTCATTGTTATTTGGAAAATTCTGCATAGGGAACCTTTAAGTAGCAACTGTAACTCTAAAACCTGCTTTCTTATGTTCTCTCCATCTTGTTTTGTTTTCCTCAGTCACAGTCCAGGGACAACACACCTTTCATGTGAGTTTATCTCATTTAGAATATCACCATACTTATGCTTACATATTTCTGTGTCTGCAGTAAGGCTACAACTAACAACTATTTTCATTATCTACTAGTCAACAGATTATCTTCAGCATTAATCATTTACTTGTTTTGCCTATAAATTGTCAAAAAAATTCTAAAAACAAAAAAAAATGCTCATCACAATTTCCTAGAACCTGATGTGACATCTACAGTTTGCTTCTTTAGACCAACCAACAGTTCCAAACCCAAAAACTTCATTTACTATCATAAATGTCAAAGAAATTCTCACATTTTGTGAAGCTGAAACCGTCAAATGTTTGTAATTCTTGCCTGAAAAATGACTGAAACAATTAATCAATTATCAGAATAGTCTGTGATTAATTTTCTTTCAATAGACTTAACTAATCGATTGACTAATCGTTGCAGCTCTAATCTGCAGTAACGAATGAGGATGAAAGTGTGTTTGTGCTTTGATTTGAGCTTTTTTTGTTCTAAATATCATGAATTTAAATATAGCCTGACACACAAATGTCTCTGATGCAGTAAAAAAAAAAAAGTAGGATAGCCACACACTCATAATGCTGATGCATTTAGTTCAGCTAATAAAGATGAATGTTGGGAAAACGGCTATTTTCAGGATCCTGACGAAGGTAGTGTGTCTAGTACCTCAGTAGAACAGGTGTGTGTGTTTCCTCTCAGTTTGACTGAGCTTTGGTTAATGCTGATGCCCGTGGTGTGTGTTTTGTAGAGTGAGTGTCCAGAAAAGTAAGTGGGACAGTTCTCGCTCCATGCGATACAACCAGGATGCTCAGAGGGAAGAAGGTAACAGAGGACTCAATTTATTAATATGTATATATTTTTAGGCATATCATCAAGTATGTTCCACCCATTCAAATCATACTGAGTCTTATAAATGCTCTTTACTCTTTTATTTTCATATTTTCACTAAGTTACATCAAGTTCTGTTTTGTTTATGAACCAGACCAGCGTCGCATGGTGGAAATCATCGGCTACCTGACTAAGATGAGGTTTGGAGACCAGGAACAGAGCAAATATAAGGACACTAAGGAGGCAAGTAACTGTTTATATTCATGCACAAACAATGTATATAGTAACAGGATGCAGGAGATGTGACTTTTACCAGGATTTATTGTCTCATATCACATCATGTGCTCACAATTGGTGTTGAGTTATCAGGCCTGCTGTCCTAGTTTTTGCAGCTGCTTGATATCAGATTGTTTTTGTTCTGGACAATTTGTGCGTGCGCGCGCACGTGTGTGTGTGTGTGTGGTTGCTGTTGCTGCAGCCTACAGGAGGAATCTACGCCAGGCTGGAAGCGCAGTTTAAGAGTGCATCTCAAACCAGACAGAGTTCGGAAAAGACACCCAGGTACTCTTCCTACGCGCACACACACACACACACACACACACATTCTGCCACTTCTATCTTTGTTTGAATCCTCATTGTCATAATGCATTCCCTAGCCCCTTACCCTAACCTTAACCTAATTGTAACATGAACCTTAAAGCCAAGTCTAAACTCTCAATCAGGCTTTTGAAGAAATGAGGATCAGCCTAAATGTCCTCACTGCTGGTATAAAATTGTTTTAGTCCTCACTATGTAACAAGTACACACACACACAGACACACACACACAATCTTATCATGTCCCCTTCAGTAATCGACTTTTTTCCTCTTTCACAGTAGATCTAAAATACGCTACGCTCAAATCCGGACAACATAAAGGAGCTGATGGGGAAAAGGCCGCTGAGCTATCAAAGAGACGAGTATGAAAACTGATGAAGAGTCATAAGAACAAAGAGGAAGAGGAGAGGTCCTTCTGCGAAAGCTCAGTACAACAAAAAAAGTTTCTACTGGCAGCTCCTCAAGCACGGCCTACACCTATAACCCAGCTGTGGACTCTCTCCTCACCCTCACCCCTTGTCAGTCCTGTTCCCTCCCTCTGTGCTTAACTCAGGTGACTACGTATGCATCACCATCAACTGCACCCTCTGTCACTCAGCTAGCTACTTATTTGTGCAGCTGCAGCCGGTCCTTGAAAAACACGTTCTCCGGATCCAGCTCAGCGTAGGAAATTCACTTGAACTGATCTCAGTGTGTCTTTAGGGTTTATCTTTGGAGGTAGACAAGTTGGGGATGAAATGCTAGTTTATTCTTTATTAACGGTCATCCGCACTGAGGATCTGAATTATTTAGATCCAGTAAACTCCACATGTATGGGACTGAAGAGTTTCAGAGAGAGGTAAATGAAGCCAAAGGCAAGACGGTACTGCTTCAAAACAGCTCATCTTGTTTCGGTTAAACTGCTGATCACAGTACATCAGTACATGAAATAAATTCTGTATTAGCATTCATTGTCTTCTGTGGTGAAGCCCAGCCATCTGGCTGAGACTGACACTACAGTTACTTTCAAGTGTCTCCCTCCCCAGTCCTGGTAGAGATATATAGGTCTATTCATTCATATCTGTATTGGAATGTGACTAAACTGTACAACACTGGGACCAATAAAACATAAATGAGACTGAACTTCAGCCAGAGCCTTATTTGGATTACCTTCATGGTTTCTGCCGATCCTAGAATAGTCTGAAAGGGTATTACATCCATTAATATGAAAATAAGGCCTTTATTTTCTCTAGATATTTTTATCTTTTCTGATGTTGCATTGTAAAATCTCTAATAATTGATAACATGTTTTTTAACTTATATTTTCTTTGTGGCAGGGCTGGTCAGAGTAGAAGATCAACTGCCTGCTAGCTGGCTGTCACTGTACCCTCGATGCACAGGGAAGTGCAAATTTAACACAAATTGGCCATTTGACCAGGATTTCACAGCATGGCTGAAACTGGTACAAGGCGATCTAGGCTCTGTGTATTTTATGCAAAAAGTTTCTTAACTCGGCATGATAAAATGCAAAACAGTGGAATCCCACATGCAGAGGGAGAAACACAAAATGCCAACAATCATTGGGTATTTCCCAAGTAACTGATGTTGGTTCACTTTTTCCCCTTCAGTTTTGGTTATAGTAAAAGTGGTCTTAAATTTCATTCTGAGAGGTATGAAAAAAGTTTTTAAAAACTTAAAGGTCCAGTGTGCAGGATTCAGGAAGATATACTGGCAGAAGTAGAAAATAATATAAAAAGCATGTTTTCTTTAGTGTATAATCACCTGAAAACAAGAATCATTATGTTTTTGTTGACTTAGAAAGAGCTATTGATATCTACGTAGGGAGCAGGTCCTTGTCTACAGTGATTGCCGTGTTGCACCATGTTTCTACAGTAGCCCAGAGCGGACAAACCAAACACTGGCTCTAGATAGGTTCATTCAGGTTTTTGCATTGGCCACTGTAGTAAGCAGTTCCCCCATGATGAGAGCATTGGAAAAGCGCAGATTTTTTTATATGAAACTGCTTAATTTGGCATATTTACTGGTTTAAATCACTGAGTCTATTGGTTTTGGAGAGGATGAGTCCTTTGTGGGTGATTCAGCTCCTGGTAAAAAAAAACCCAAAAAAAAAACCTCTTGAACACTGAGGGAACTCTAACCAGGAGAAGTTTCAGCTGGTTGCAATCTGCATTTCTCACCATTAGATTCTACTAAATCCCCTTAAATCTTACACACTGGACCTTAAAATCTAACTTGCCTTAACTGTAGGAACCCTGTATTCTGGTGACTGTCCACTGGGTGGCGGTATATCACCTCAGGGGAGTTACTGGGCTCTCACTGATCAACTTTGCCCCAGTTTGACCACAACCTGTCACCCCTGCTCCAATTTATGGCCAGATGACATCAAATAATTTAATGAAGGTAAAACTTAATAAAACTGTTGACGAAGTACAATCAGTGTTTCATTTAAATTCAGTCCTTAATGAACCTTTTTCTCGTGCCTAAAGGGCTTGGTTGGAACAGCGTGAGAGTCCTGGGCAGAGAGCTGGTATGTGCCACTGGGTAGAGGGTCAGCCACCCTCTCTGTTTGAGAGGCAACGACCAGCGGGTGTACTAACCTGGCTCTTCCTGTCCAGCTTACTCACAGGGGTATTAATAACCCTGCCTGCCTACAGCGTGGACACAGAGCTGGGCATGAGGAGGCGTAGAGCTGGGCTTACTTCTTTTTTTTTTTTATCTTTTTGGGTAGGTGGTGGGTGGGCGGGGGCTACCCCAGCTGTTCCCTCTTCTCCTCGACAGCAGATGCCGAGAATGGCTGAAGATCTCTGGATCTGGGTCAGGAAGGGGGGGGGGGGGGGCCAGTTACAGCCGGACTGAATTATGGTCCCAGAGAGATGGTCAGATATGAAAGCATCAAAGCAAACATATGAAGTAGTAATTACCAGAACAAGGAGCTGCTGACTCCACAAAAGCATGCAAACATGAAACTGTACCACTAAAAGGAGCAAAAGCCTTCCTCTGCAGGGGGCTGCAGCCAGAACAAGTGGCCTCCGTCCAGTTATTGACATAAAACACTGTAAAACCCACAGCCGACATACGCACCTGCAACAGATTAGCCAGAGTGAGCACTTTATATATTATACATTCAGTGTAGAATTATAAGTCTCATTGAGAGTCCAGCAACTTCCTCTCTGGTTGCATCAGAGCTGACAGGTTGCATCAGACGAGTGTTTCAACTTTCAGGGCGTCATCACAACCTTTAATGTAATACCAGTGTGTTCACAGGGATTAGTGCTGGGGTCAGTTTACACAGCACCAACCTTGGCCAAAGATGTCTGCGCGGAAACACTGATGCCACGGGAATACTGTGTGTATGACAGATGACATCCATCACTATCATCATCATCATCAGCTACCTTTCCTTTTAGGATTTATGGGTGTGTTTACGAGGAGTGGGTTTGAGCCCAGGTCAGAACAGCTCAGATGTGAGCCTGGTTTGAGAGTTGTCACTGGACTGGGACCAGGACTGTTCTGCACATGGTTCAGGGTTCTTACAGCTTAAGGCAAATTAGATTTCAGACTCTTTAATGCCAATCAGAATGAGATTTAAGAGGGAAAAAAAACACATGAACCAAAATAAAATACTTATGGTTGGGGACAATTTTGCCAGATATTAATTGTAGCATGAAACACGACTTATTTGTCTCGTTGCAGAGACAAGGGTAGAACAGAACAGAACGGGGAAATACCTGGTGTTTGTTGGCATTTGTGCTTCTCGCTTTGCATGTGGGATTCCACTACATTGACACAACACAGTGGAGTTTTTAAAAACGTTTTGCATGAAATACACCAAGCCTCACGTGCATGCTGTGAAATCTTGGTTAGCCTATTTCCATTGAATTAACACTTCCAAATGTCACCAAGGGCACAGTGGCAGCCAGCTGACAGACAGTGGATCAATGGACAATATGAGTATCATTGGTTCTGCTATCCTGATCTGCATAAGATTAATGCAATGTCATAGAGAAAATGAATTCATAGACTCCTACTTTACATGTTTTAGCATTTTTTAGACATCTTAACATCAATTATTTTTAGAGGCTGTCCAAACTTTTTTGAATGGAGCCAGATTGTGAAATAAACCATTGCCAGCTGCTGCCTGCATCATGAGTCATTTTAAAAAATCACATACAAATGAGACAAATGCAACTGTTTGATCTTTTCAGTGAAAACATATTCAACTTTCCCTCCCTGTAAGACTTAACACTCCTTTCTTTGTTAGTTTACTTGTTTACAATCTGTTTATGAAAACAAAAAATCTTAAGTGATCTTGCTTGATTAAATGACAATGTGTGGCAGGCCACATGTAGTATATTTTGAAAGCCAAGTCGTGGGCCATTTGAAATGTGTCCACAGGCCACAATTGGCTCCCGTACCAGACTTTGGACATGCCTGCCTGTAGTAATGCTTTCATCAACTCCTAACAAGTAATTTTACTGATGTCTGTTAGAGGATGCTGCGTATCAAACTACACAAATGTACAGTAAGCTACAGCTTCCAACAGGTTCGCTCTGTTGATGTGGGTAAAATTCTAAAATATGAAGTGTTATGTTATTTTTTTCATACCTCAGGTCAATAATGCCATATTTTCAGGCCTCTTGCCAAAATGTAATCAGCTCATCTGGTCCAAACAGGCTGCAGGGTTCTGACTGTAATTTCACAGAATAGTAAAGAATCAGTCTCAATACTTTATGACCAATTACCGGGTAAAAAATCCTTGAAATCCCATCTCCTCCTCTCTCATTCACAGCAAGGTTCAATCATCTGAGTGAAGTAAAAAGAAGCAGAAGATGATTTTTAGTGGAAGAGAACTCTTAACATTTTGAGTCAGTGTTGTGGAATGAAGAAATGGGAACAAAGGCAGGGTTATAAAATTCTCAACTTTAATCAGTTCAAAAAGTTCACAACAAATGTAACACCTTGAGAAGGGAAATTTGCCATTAGAGATTGGGTACTTATTTGGATTTATACATTCTTTTCCTAATTAAACTCGTTGGCAATTCATTTGCTCTCCAGACAAAAAGCCTTTTGTTTATTTGGACAGAACTCAAACAGGTACAACTGAAAAATGCAAAAAAAAAATACAAAATTAAATGTAAACCCAGTTTTATTTTTCATTTTGCTCTAAAGGTAGTGACTTGAAGCACTACTGCATGGTAAACAATCTAAATTAGTACAATTCAAAATCTGGAAAGCCATCTGAGTTAAACAGGAGTTGTTATAAAGATGCAACCAACTAAGAACCCATAAATACCTCCGCCACTTCCTTAAAACATCCCATAATGAAGGCTCACAAATGAGCAACAATCCTCTTAGAGGAAAACAAAACGCTGATGTCGACTAGGCGACAGCACACACGCGCACACACCCACAACAAAAAGAAACAATAGAATAAAAGGAAAAAAAATGTTCCCATGGTATTAAAGATGCTATACAATTGGGATGATATGCACATATTCGGTTTTGCTTTTCCTAAAAAAAAACCTCCACACACTTTTTTTTAGGTGAAGCACAACTCATGAGCAACAGATGCCGATACATGATGCAGCATCTCTCGGCCTTCATTCATTATCCATTAGATTCACATTCTCCCACAATGCCGTGGGGCACCAAACAAGCGGTGCATGCGCCACTAAAAGACCACTTCCTGTCCGTCACACCACAGGTCTAGAAGCCTCTATGCCGACTTGACACATATGCCGTTTTTTCACAAAAACCCTGCTCAGACTGTATATATAATATATTTATATATAAACAAATATATGGGGAAGAACTGGGAAAAAGAGAACATGGGAGATGGAGGGAACAGAACAAAAACAAGATGGTTAAGTTGTCTAATTGTTACAACGTCATCATGCAGGTCTTGGGATGGGCCAGAGACCAACAAAACATAAACTTAGATTAACAGTTCTGGAAAGATATTACACAAAAAGTCTCCATAGAAAACGCAGATTATGTAAAAAGGGCCACAGGGTGACGCGGTAATCATTTACATATTGTTGGCATTGTTTTGGTCAACAAATATCCAATGGGACGACCCGCTCTGCAGAGGGTGAGCGGCCTCCCACCACACTCAAGTGCCT